CTTGCCGCGCGTGCGCATTCAGCCGCATGGGAGGAGAAGAGGAGGATCGGAGGAGGAGAGCTCCCCACCCAGTGCTGGAAAAAGGTAAGTTTTTACCCCTTTCCCCCTTCCAGAGCTGGGCGGGAGGGGGACCCTGAGGGTGGGGGCACCCTCAGGTCACTATAGTGCCAGGAAAACGAGTATGTTTTCCTGGCACTGTAGTGGTCCTTTAAGTGCAGGGTATTGTTGTAGTTGTGGGAGGTATCCTCATAAAAATAAAATCATAAAAGAAACATAGATGTAGTATGTTGGGCTATGGATCAAGAGTAGGTATAGATATAAAATTTGCACTCACATGTTATGGAGCCGTAGATATGGCTCCAAGGATAGCGTGTGAAGTGGTATGATCCCCACTCAAGGATATGGTGCAAATACTTGTTCTCTGTGGATATATACATATATACACACACACACACACACACCCCAATAGTATACACCGTAATATGTAGTGCAAAACACAAAAAAAAGATTAAAAAAACCTACTCAAATGTTCCAGAGCAAAATATGGTTTGCTCAATCCACCAAGGATATTGCCCAAAAGATCCAGCAGCAGCAATAGGTCCAATAAAAAAAGCACTTTAATTTAAAAAAAACTGTAAAAACAGTAAATCTTATGAAATAAAACCACATAGATATGGACGCAAAAAGAGAAAATAAATATTACATAATAACTATACATAAAAAACATATAATAAAAATGTGTTATACTCAAGAGGTGGCAATATAGAATATAATAAAAATACTGGGGAAAAGGGGCTTATAAACAGGGTTATTCCACGTACAAAAAGGAACAAAAACAGAATAAAATGTAAACAAGAATTGTGTATGAAGGGGAGGGGATAAGGGGCATACTTGGTAAAATACAGGAAATAGATACATAAAATGTGGGACAAGATAACTGAAGTGTTATTATAAAAAGTTAAATAGATCGAAATCAGAATTTAGACTGGTGGGGATTAAAGTTTTTAGATAAAAGGCCCATTTCATCTCATATTGTCCAAGAATGTTTTTAATATTGCCACCTCTCCATGGCAAAGGACTAAAATATGCACCCACATGAAATTGTAACCAATTTTAAGCTATAGAAGTCTGCACTTGGAGAGGTGTCAATATTAAAAAAAAAAAAAAAAATTATGTTTACTTACAGTAAATTTATTTTTCCAGAAGATTAGAGGCATTGCTTTACAACTGGGATTTCATCACCTGGAGGAAAAAAAAAAAAAAACAGGCCGGCAATCTCCCAAACTTTTCAAGAACCTACCCCAATTACCCTTTGGCCTTATAAATTGCTTCCTACCCAAGACATCCCCAGAAATTCCCTTCAGATTAGAGGCAGTGCTTTACAACAGGGATATCCAAAAGCAATCCCTTAGGGCAGGACTCAATTCTCACTGCAAAAAACCTGCGACCAAAGTTAAATCTTCCAAGATCAACAGACCAAATTGAGTGAAGAGATCACCTCGTGGCTGTTAGGAAATCGAGAGAATGTATAGCAGAAGCCTTCAGGCAACCGATCTGAACATAACTGTGATCGAAGGAGCTTCAGTGGAGATAGGTGTAAGATAAGAAAAACCCAAACGGATGCAGACCTTTAGGGTAACGTAGAAGAGAACTAAACGCCCAGGCAGTGGAATTAGAATACCCTAGAACGCTGTTGGGAAAAGTTAGAAAAATAATGTTAGATGGAAGAGTGAGAAGAATTAAAGAATCCAACTTAACTCCACTTTCTCCTGCTGAAAATGGAAACTTGAAGAACTTGAAGTTCTTCCCAAAAATATTTTGGGCGGCTGCCCCCAAAGACCTAGAGTGAAGACTCAAATCAGCAGAGAAAAAAAAAACCCAAAAGAAGATCCCCTGAAGATAGGAACTAACCACGAAAGAGCCTAGCAGATACTGGTGATTTGGAGACAAACCTCTGAAAATCAACTGATAACCGAAATTTGACCTTGAGGATCTCTGGCTTTAAACCATCCGCAAAACCCATCTGTTGTGGTCGTGACTTAAATATGAATATTAATCTCTTAATACATAATAATTAAGCAATACGGAACATTAATATTTTTATAATTCATGGTATTATGGTCGAATATGTGGATAGAAAATACACAAAACGTTGTAATATTAAATGTATATTTAATATAACTATAATAAATAAACAGATGCTAGCGGAATGTCAATTTACCACAATAATTATACAATACAATACTACACAACACGCTATTGGTTGCTAAATATTATACAAAAGGCTATTACAATTGCTAAATGTTACAATGGATTCATATTACTTACAAGGCCCCAGCCAAAGGGCTGGGGCTAAGTCAGAGCTGGTACTACATGATCAGTCAGGTACAGGCAAAAAGAGACAGAGTTTCTCCTACATCTGGTTTTTATTCAGTGTAAGTAGGCTGGCCTGTGATGTCACTGCCAGAAGCACATGTCTTCCTACACACTCCCCCTAGTGGTGCCCCCAAAGCATTACACTAAATATGCTTTCTTTATGATGTAAAGTCATTAATTAATAAATACCATTACACCATCCAAAGAAAAAAAAAAAAAGTTAAAACTTGGAAGCGGATGCCTGCTTTTCTATGAACCAATATCTTTAAAAAAAAAACAACACCTTCCATACTTGAAATAAATATTGGAACAAGATCCATTTATAGTAAAAGAAATTGTCAATAATTTCCTGAGACAAAACATTATCCTTCAGTATCTGGTATACATAAACCAGGTAGTCAGCTTGAATTACAACAAATTTGAGAAGCGGTACCCTTGAGAATTCCAGGATGCCTATTTACAGGTCAGATCCCCAAAGATTCCTCCTGATAATTTTTGATGAACGGTGAAACAGCTACTTGCCACCAAGGGAGGAAGACTATCATTCTCACCTTTTCCATCCTATAGGATCTTGGGAATAGGGAACCAGGAGGAAACTATAGGTTAGACTGGAATTCCCAAGAAAGAAAAGGAAACCAAAGATTACTGGTTTGTCCAATGAAACACTTCATGTTATCTGTTTGATCTAGAAGTCCCAGTTCCATAACTGGATAATCAAAATCTTCCTATCGTTTGGGTGAAGATCAGGGAGTATGAACAATATGCTTTGTATTAAATGTTGACTACTCAATGCTACAGCTAAACAGAGGAATATTAAGGTCTATGCATAAGTGAATAGACCTAAGAAAAATTAACCCAAGCATATCCTGGAACAAGATTTTTCAAACAAGATGACCTTGTTTGTACATAATTGCTACCGATGTAGAACTATCTGACCTGGATAAGATAATACCTGGTCTTTATCTGAAAGGCAAAGAGCTAGCAAGATAGCCTTCGGTCCTATGTAGTTGGATAAGTTTTTACAAATTATCTCAGCTAATTTCCCTTCAACCCTATGAGAACCTAGCTGAGACCTGAAGCATCAGTCGTAAAATTCTGAACAATCGATTTGATAACTAGAACAAAAAGTAAGAACCGTCTTGCATCCTTCATTTCTGCCTGGTTCAGAAAGGAATGACCGAAGTATAGGATTTTACTGCAAAATCTTATCAGCAACTGTATCTGGCCTCTGAAGGACCTGTAAACAGTGCTATGCCTAAAGAAGCTGAAGAGACCAAACAGGTTCTTACAAGACGGGAACCAATATTATTTCCATAGTATCTTGTCTACTGAAGTAGAAGAGATTTCAGGTGATAAGGACAGAGAACCACAATTTTTTTCATCAGGGAATTACCATTCTCTGAGAGTCAAAAACCCTTGTAAAAATATTTACACCTGAACTGTTCCTTGACAAACACCAGAACTGCACACTTCTTGAAAAGGGAATTCTTTATCAGAAGATAAATAGCATCCACCTGTATGCTGTAGAAACACCCTAACCTTTAGGGGCTGGTGTACAAAAATTAATTAGGTGCCCCTGAGGAAGCAGTATTGTAGAGCTTCAACAAATTTATGAATGGCAACATTTTGCATAGTGAGAGAATCTCAAGTGGCAATTGACATTAGCTTTTTCTTAAAAGAAAACTGCAGACAAACCTAGGCAGTAAACCATCCCAGTCATATCGTATCTATTTCAGTGCAGGGAAAAAAATTGAACCTGGTGGAACTACAACCTGATCAATAGGCTTGCAGCTATACTAGAACTTGCTTCAAGCCCAGTAACATGAGGAAGAAATAATTTTCCATGGAGACTAGTTCATACAGGTTACCATCTTTATTGACGGAAGCGAGACTGATTACATAGATATACAGTCTGCATAAGACAATACCCATGATCCAGGTCTTCCTTAGCCGTAATTGGGAAGCAGAGGCTAGAGCAGAAAGAATATCTGCAAACTGCATTTCAAAACCTGTTTGATGCAGACTGCAGGAATCAATAGTAGAAGTAATTCTTTAAAATTGCAATACCAACCAACAGCCTTACCTGCTATAGGCTTTCCTTAGCTGTACTTGGGAAGCAGAGGCTAGAGCAGACAGAATATCTGCAACTGCATTTCAAAACCTGTTTGATGCAAACTCTGCAGGAAACAATATTAGGAAGCATTTTCTTTAAAATTTCCATTCCAACAGTTAGCTCAAACCTATCTGACAACATAGGACTTGGAATTTAAGATAAAACAGAAAATGTGCAACCATGTAGTGAAGCACGGGAAAAGTTCTGCCCCAGCTGAAAAACAGACTGCCTTTTTAGAAACTCATATTAGGTGAAACTAGTTGAGGTGGTGAGAATGCTAATTGCAACAGAGCTTTGTCTACAGCAGTTGCTAAAAGCCTACTGCATGTTTAAAGGAACACTATAGTCACCTAAATTACTTTAGCTAAATAAAGCAGTTTTAGTGTATAGATCATTCCCCTGCAATTTCACTGCTTAATTCACTGCCATTTAGGAGTTAAATCACTTTGTTTCTGTTTATGCAGCCCTAGCCACACCTCCCCTGGCTATGATTGACAGAGCCTGCATAAAAAAAAACTGGTTTCACTTTCAAACAGATGTAATTTACCTTAAATAATTGTATCTCAATCTCTAAATTGAACTTTAATAACATACAGGAGGCTCTTGCAGGGTCTAGCAAGCTATTAACATAGCAGGGGATAAGAAAATCTTAATTAAACAGAACTTGCAATAAAGAAAGCCTAAATAGGGCTCTCTTTACAGGAAGTGTTTATGGAAGGTTGTGCAAGTCACATGCAGGGAGGTGTGACTAGAGTTCATAAACAAAGGGATTTAACTCCTAAATGGCAGAGGACTGAGCAGTGAGGCTGCAGGGGCATGTTCTATACACCAAAACTGCTTCAATAAGCTAAAGTTGTTCAGGTGACTATAATGTCCCTTTAAGAAAATAAACACGGCGGCTAGGATTCTGGCATTTAAAGAATCCATCTGCTACAACAGTATATTAACTTAACCAAAACTAGATTTTAAATATCAGCCTCCTAAGGATAACATACAGAGGATAATCTTCCAATAGTCACACAGGTCTTGCTCTTGTGAATATATTCCATCACACTTCACTTTAATTGCCGACCCTGTTGCAGCAATTAGTGATTATTGAAACCCATATTAACTAATCACTGTGTAGCAGCTATTTTGAGCCAGAAAGGAAACTTACATTTTCCAAATAGCATATACTTTTACATAATTCTAATACCCTCTATAGGCTTTACTCAAAGAATAATCTATTTTGGGCCCGATATACTGCGTGCTTACCCTTTCAAAGCACTATTTGTTTTAAGATTTTAGTAATAATCTTTAAGTGATGAGAAGCTAAGAACTCTCCAACTTAGAAACATTTGCGCTTTTTTAGCTTATCCATCTTGCAGCATAGATAATTAACTTATTCAGGCTAGAGTCATCTAAGATAAAGCAAAAAGGCTCACCTTAAATGTCCTCACTGTGTTGGAGGTTGGTGAGAACACACTTGCAACAGATTCTGAGTGCACCTGGCAACAGTTAGTTGCTGCTGGGTAAACAGCCTGTCTAAGTCCTGGAAACCAATATCTTGACCCCGGAGAGAAAAAATAATAAAGATATTGGCGCCTGAATTTTAAATCGCATTACGCATGTCCTGCATTTCACGATTCCACGGTGGAAATAAACGTAACCTGTACGAGTGTTCCACCGCCAGGACTTCCCAGCTAGTGCCCAAATGCGCACCATCGTCTGCCCGGCACCTGGCTCGGTATAGACGGAAGTAATACAACCTGGGGAGATACAGCCGTCTGTTGTGTCATCCCTGGCTGATCGCTGATCGCGGTTTCATTCAGCAGCGTGCGAGGGCGGGAGAGTAGAGCCAGCAGCCGCCAGCACATACAGCCATCTGCACTGCACAAACCCCTGGAAGGTAGTAGTAATGTGTGTCAGTGTGAGTTTGTATGTCTGTTATGGTGTGTGTCTGTCTGTTATGGTGTGTGTCTGTCTGTCTGTGTCATGGTGTGTGTGTCTCTCTGTCTGTGTCTGTGTCATGGTGTATGGGTCTGTCTATATGTCCGTCATGGTGTGTGGGTCTGTGTCATGGTGTGTGTGTCTGTCTGTATGGTGTGTGTGTGTGTGTCTGTCTGTCTGTCTGTATGTGTCATGGTGTCTCTGTATGGTGTATGTGTCTGTCTGTCTGTGTCATGGTGTGTGTGTCTGTCCGTCATGGTGTGTGTCTGTGTCATGGTGTGTATCTGTCTGTCATAGGGGTTTGTGTCTGTCTGTGTCATGGTATGTGTGTGTGTGTGGGTCTGTCTGTGTTATGGTCTGTCATGGTGTGTTGTATGTCTGTTATGGGGTGTGTATCTGTCATGGTATATGTGTGTTTATGTGTCTGTCATGGTGTATATGTGTGTTTAAAAATAGTGTTTTTGCTCACCTTTTCTCCCCCCACGCAGCGTGCTGGTCTCCCCTCGACTGGACCTGCCTCTATGGCTGAGATCATCAAGCTTAATGATCTCAGCCAATCCAATGCTTTGCCATAGGATTGGCTGCAAAACGCTACACCAATCAGCATCTCCTCATAGAGATGCATTGAATCAATGTATCTCTATGGGGAACGTTCAGCGCTTCCAGAGTGTGGAGGCCCTGAATGTAAGTGCACTGACACAGGAAGCACCTCTAGTGACCGTCTGAGTGACTGTCACTAGCGGTGTCACTTTGAAGCAACGTAAACACTGCCTTTTCTCTGAAAAGTCAGTGTTTACGTTGAAAAGCCTGTAGGGACATGCTATAGACAGCAGTACCACTACATTAAGCTGTGTGTGTGTGTGCGCGCGTCTGCTAGTGAGTGAGCTTGCTTGCATGTGTGTGCCTGCTAGTGAGTGAGCTTGTGTTTTTATGTCAATGAGCTGATGTATATCAGTGAGATTGTTTGTCTATGAGGCTGTGTATCAATGAGCTTGTGTGTGTCATTGAGATGTCAGTGAGATTGTCTGTGTCTGCATGTGAGTATGCTTACTGTATAATTAAACGTTCTACTCTGAAAGGACCAATATTTTATATTAGAAAAAGCAATATATACCTACATATATATATATATATATATATATATATATATATATATATATCTCAATCATCTGTCATCTGGGGTGGCAAGACATAGCCTTACATATTACATGCTACAATATATGGCGCAGTGACTTATGGGGCTGGCATAAATTTATTTTCCAGGGCTGCTTTGTATCCCCAGTCCGGCCAATAGCAGTGGGTGACAAGGTACATTGGGAGTAAGAAAGGAGCTGTTAGAGGGCGAGAGTTCAAAGAGGGGGCAGTAAGGATGCTGTGGCAGTAAGAAGAAAGACTGGTGGAAGGGAGGAAGAAACAGTGGGCGGGTAGAAAGGATAGCTGGGGGGGTTAGAGTGAAAAGCATCAGTGTGCGGAGCTATGAGCTCTGGAGGCAACAAGGAGGATCATTGAGGCTAGTCAGGACAGTGGGGGAGGGTGTAAGGAAGAGTAAGAGGAAGAAGAAAAGGCTTTAAAAACAATGGAAGGATAGCATGGGGGGTAGAGGGGCAATATGGTGATCATAGGAGAGAGGGGAAGGTGGAAAAAGAACAGGAAAAAAGTGAGAAACATAAAAACTGAGTTGTGAATGGGGACATTCTGTAAGAGGCCTTCACACCCTCTAATATTTATTTTAACCTCAGAATCCCTTACCACTCACAGGAACCTCTCTTATCCTCAGGGTTTTCTGTCTTACACCAGGTACTGTTGTATTTCCTCTAGCTCCCAGTGTAGCTCTTGTTCATTTACTGTAAGTGCCCAGTGCCAGCTATACTATTCTAAAATTTTACACGTTGGGTTTTTGAGGAGCAGCATGCTGTAACAAGATTATAATAAACACAGGCATCACAACATCAGCTAAAAGGTAAAGAGGTCCATGACTATATCCCTTTGCTCTGGATTCCAATCTTCTCTGGACTTTCTCTACTATAAAATAAACCACAGATACAGGCAGATGCTAAGGGTGAATGATCAGATTGTCAGGGTGTCATGGGAAGGTGTCAGCTCTCAAAATCAGTGGACAAATCTGCGTAAAAAAGCAGATTCTCAGGGTCTCTATACACATGGGCAGACCCTCGATGGTTTGAGTGGACAGGTTTGTGTGAGCAGTGGCATTCGTTTTTATGGGAGCCCAATTTGTCATCTGTCGCATCTCCTTTCACTGACCATTCCTACCCACTTTCTGCTGTCCCCTACCACTTCCCCTCAGAACAATATCCAGACCCCCTCTTTCTATCCTGTTCAATATTTAATTGCAACTCATGCCTTCCTTTCCTAATATTTTTCTTTTCAGGAACAGCAGTACAGCCACATTGAGCACATCTTAGCATCTGCAGTCAGTAAAAGGTAAGAGAAGCAGTTTTTCACAGCACTTTTCTCCTCGTTCCTCATCCCACAATTCTACATAGCATTCCCCCTCTCGGAGAGAAATAATGTGGTGGAAGAGATTATTACCACTCTCCACATTTTAAGAAAAAGACAAAGTACCATAATCACTAAATGCCAAACAGGCTGCAGCAACAATCCCTTGGTTCTTTGTAAAATACTTCTCAGGTATTTTACCATAAATGGGGCACTCACACCCCGGCTCTTAACTCCTAGAAGATGCCACCCCCCCTACTGCCCGTTACAAATGATCAGTATAGTTATTTATGTAATTAAAGGTAAATTATAGTGCCACTCCGTCAAGCCCCCACACACCTGGTCCAGCGTCGATTTTCCTCGGCGTTGGCTCGGGTCTGCTTTTTCTCCTGACCCACATGGCAATGGCCACGTTCGCATTATTATTTCCCTATAGGAAAGCATTATTCAATGCTTTCCTATGGGTTTTTAGATAACGCTGGACATCCCATGCATAGCGTGAGGACGTCTGGTGTCAGATGAAGTCACCTAACAGCCCAGAAGTCCCTCTAGTGGCTAGTAGACAGCCACTAGAGGTGGAGTAAACCCTAGCAAGTGATTATTGCAGTTTCTTGAGTGCAATAATTACCTCAGAGTTAAGGGACCTGGGACAGTGCACCTGGACCACTTCAATAAGCTGAAGTGGTCTGGGTGCCTATAGTGTCCCTTTAATTATGCTAAGTATTTATGACATGTGGATCTGTGAATAGAGAAAAGATATGGTTTTGGTATGAGTACCTCGGGGCATTTATTACAGTGCAGATGTGGTCATAATTCACTCAATAAATACCAGTGGTACCCATGCCAAGATAACACCAGGTTTCCATACTAGATGGTGAATTGAACAATTAGCGGAATGCAGTCGCTAACACACTCGGCGTTACACCTGTTTCAGCCAAGTGTAAATTGCAGCTCTCTTCTTTGGACAGCATTGATCCTGGTAATGTGAAAGAGTAACTTTTTTATCAAGTTGAATCTGGGGAGGAAGTTTAACAGGGTTATTTACTAAACTTAGAATTGCCTGGAATGCAAAGTAAATGTGAAAGTTGGCCAAGATAGCAGTGCTGAAATTTTTTTTCCAAGTCAGTTATGCTACCAGTTTGTCTACTTTTCTAATTTTAATTCCAAACAATTCTCTTGTTAGTGAATAACTGTATATGGCATCAAAAAGATGGAGTATGAATTATTTAGAGTGTGGGATTCGGGTACAATCAGGGATGGGTCTTGAGTAGGGTTATATTGGCTCAAGCCCCAGGTAACTTTTTGACCTACTAATTGCATGGGACAGTGCCAATGTACTCCTGGCAGCCTAAACACTACAGCATCCTTTAAGGATACATTAAAGCAACACTATAGGATCAGGAACACAAACGTATTC